CTTGAGGCTACACACGCACCCACACGCGCACATCCACACAAACACCCACACACACACCCACGCATGCACACGCACACCCACATACACACATCCACCCACACACACACGCATAACCACACACCCACCTACACACCCATAGACACACCCACCCACACGCACCCACACGCCCACCGACACACCCATACACACACACGCCCACGCACGCATGCACACACACGCACGCACACGCGCACGAGTTTTTAACAAAATCCTGCCGTGAAACACCCGGCTGGGCAAAGTTAGTTTGAAATATATATGAATTATTAATACTCAGAACAGGCTCCCATTTTAATTTGCGCTCCCACGGTGTGGGAGAGGAGAGAGAGAGAGAGCGCGCGAAAGAGAGAGAGAGAGAGAAAGTGAGAGTGTGTGAAAGAGAGAGCGAAAGAGAGAGAGCGAATAGGAGAGCGAAAGAGAGAAAGCGATAGAGAGAGCAAAAAAGAGAGTGAGAGAGAGAGAGAGCGAAAAAGAGGGAAAGAGAGAGCGTTAAAGAGAGAGTGAGAGAGAGAGAGAGCGAGAGAGAGAGCCAAATGGAGTAGGAAGAGAGGGGGCAGAGAGAGAGGGGGGGGGGCGGAGAGGGGGGTAGAGAGAGAGGAGAGGCAGAGAGGGGGGTAGAGAGAGAGGGAAGGGGAAAGGAAAAAAATATTTTGTTGGGTCTTTCATTTAAAAAAACCGAAATGATGAACGGAGCAAAGTGCCGACTACACCGAGCATCTTCTCGTTTCCTCTGATCGTGAAAAAAAAAGAGAGAGAGAGAGAAGAGAGAGCGAGGAGACTTTTTAAACAACTTCCATTGCCGCCAGCAGCAACAGCACTGGAGGCGATTCCGACACGAAACACACAAAGTCGCCAGCAACACAACACAAACAAACAAACGCTACAAATCCGCGCGCTGTGGCGCTAAAGACGCCGCGCACAACACGAAAGAAAAGTCACGTGGTGGTGGTTGTGGTGGTGGTGGTGGCGGTGGTGGACGTCGCGCACGCCACGTTGACGAGCGAGCGCTTCAGAAGGTGAACACGTGGTACAGAGAGGGGCTTTTCCGACCTCCAGGGTAGCTCCTCCTCCCGGTCGTACAGCAGCCGAGACCCTGAGGCTCGTGACCCTGGCGGCGACGTCCACCGGGACCCCCGGCCGCCCTAGCCCACCGGCAGGCGGAGAACGCCCGGCCTTAGCCGGTGCTTCCCGTGCCAGACGAAGCTCACGCGCGAGAGCGAGCGAGCGGTTGACTCTGGTGAGCAGCCAAGCGGGAGGCTGGAGGGCCTTGGTCTCGTGCCACAGCACGGACGCTGCATGGGTGTTAGCGGCGGGCACCCGGCCCCCCGAAGGACATCTGCGGAGCGAGGCGCTGCGCCCATGTCAGCAATTTGGCCTCGATTGTGTCGGCCAGCTCGGTGCAGTTGATGTTCAGAGCGACGTCGTGTGAGTTTCACCCAGGTGAACCCCCAGGTACTTGACTCCGTCGTCTCGCCAACTTGACTCCTCCCGGGAGAAGCACAGAGCGAACGCCGCCTCGCGGCCCCCCCAACACACAGCGGGGGGGGGGGGGCCCTCGCACTTGGCGCAGTTGACCCTGGTGGAGGAGGCCCTCTGGTGCACTGCAACCCGCCCGGCAGAGCGCGTTTCTCACGTCCGGGGATCTTGAGTGCAGACAGATCGCATCTCAGGCGGTGTAGCAGTGGCTCAATGGGCAGGGTGTATACAGCAGGGCCCCGATAGGAGGGCATCCCTGGTCTGACCCCCCCCCCCCCCCCCCACCTCGTCACGGAGAAAAGGGGGCGCCGAGCCCCCCCCCCCCCCCCCCCCCCCGTCCTCCCGTGTACAGGAGGCTGACGTGCGAGATGAAGCCGAGCGACGTTGAGGAGTTTGTCCACGGCACTCGTGGCTCGCCCCGTCAAAGGCCTGATCCAAGAAGAGGAGGCCCTAGTCCACTGTTGTTCGCTACTGCAAGGGAGGTTACGTCCCTGACCGTACCGATGTTGTCGTTATATGCACCGTCCGGGGATGCGATGCGACCGTTCCGGCAGGATCAGCTGACCCGTCACTGTCTCGAGACGCTTTGCCAGCACCTTGGAGAGGATTTTGTAGCCGGCGCACAAAGAGTGACACGGGTCACCAAATCTCGACGAGGCGCAGGACTCCCCTTCTTGGGTAGCAGGGAGACCACCGGTCTCCTGCATCTCTGTGGGAGTTCACCCTTCTGCAGGTACTCCGTCAACAACTGCAGTAGTGGAGGGCCAAGCTCATCCCAGAAGGCCGAGAGAAGAGAGTGGGGAGAGTGAGGAGAAAGAGTGAGGAGCAAGAGAGAGAGAGTGAGGAGAGAGAGTGAGGAGAGAGAGTGAGGAGAGTGAGGCGAAAGAGTGAGGAGGGAGAGAGAGTGAAGAGAGAGAGGAGTGAGGAGAGAGAGTGAGGAGAGTGTGAGGAGAGAGATAAGAGAGAGTGAGGAGAGAGAGTGAGGAAAGAGAGAATAGAGAGAGGAGAGAAGAGAGTGAGGAGAGAGAGTGAGGAGAGAGAGAGAGTGAGGAGAGAGAGTGAGAAGAGAGAGTGAGGAGAGAGAGTGAGGAGAGTGTGAGGAGAGAAAGTGAGGCGAGAGAGTGAGGAGAGAGAGTGAGGAGAAAGAGTGAGGAGCAAGAGAGAGAGAGTGAGGAGAGAGAGTGAGGAGAGAGAGTGAGGAGAGTGAGGCGAAAGAGTGAGGAGGGAGAGAGAGTGAAGAGAGAGAGGAGTGAGGAGAGAGAGTGAGGAGAGTGTGAGGAGAGAGATAAGAGAGAGTGAGGAGAGAGAGTGAGGAAAGAGAGAATAGAGAGAGGAGAGAAGAGAGTGAGGAGAGAGAGTGAGGAGAGAGAGAGAGTGAGGAGAGAGAGTGAGAAGAGAGAGTGAGGAGAGAGAGTGAGGAGAGTGTGAGGAGAGAAAGTGAGGCGAGAGAGTGAGGAGAGAGAGTGAGGAGAAAGAGAGTGAGAGCGAGAGAGAGAGCGAAAGACAGAGAGAGCGAGAATGAGAGAGTGAAAGAGAGAGAGAGAGAGCGAGAGAGAGAGAGAGTGAGAGAGTGAAAGAGAGAGAGTGCGAGAGAATGAGAGAGTGAAAGAGAGAGAGCGAGAGAGAGAGCGAGAGAGTGAGAGACTGAAAGAGAGAGAGCGAGAGAGAGAGAGAGAGCGAGAGAGCGAGAGAGTGAGAGAGTGAAAGAGAGAGAGCGAGAGAATGAGAGAGTGAGAGAGTGAAAGCGAGAGTGAGAAACTTAAAGAGAGAGAGTGAGAGACTGAAAGAGAGAGAGTGAGAGCGAGATTGAGAGAGTGAAAGAGAGAGAGCGAGAGAGTGAGAGAGTGAAAGAGAGAGAGTGAGAGCGAGAATGAGAGAGTGAAAGAGAGAGAGCGAGAGAGTGAGAGAGTGAAAGAGAGAGAGTGAGAGCGTGAGAGACTGAAAGAGAGAGAGTGAGAGCGAGAATGAGAGAGTGAAAGAGAGAGAGAGCGAGAGAGTGAGAGAGTGAAAGAGAGAGTGAGAGAGTGAAAGAGAGAGAGAGAGAGCGAGAGAGTGAGAGAGTGAAAGCGAGAGAGTGAGAGACTGAAAGAGAGAGTGAGAGAGCCAGAGAGAGAGAGAGCGAACGAGAATTTCCCCCACCGCCCCGTTGTTAATCATAATCCCACGGCACGCGCCCGGCCTGCACTCAACCCCGCAACTTCCACGCGGTTCCGGCCACCCTCAAGGCGAGCGCGCTCCCGTGTCACGAAGTTCAAATGAAAATGAAGCGGGAGGAGGTTTTGAATCGGTCTGTGAGACCGCAACATATATATAGTGATTATTATTTTTACATCTATAAAGGCGTCAAAAAATTGCACGGACGTAAAAAATATAACAAAGTATATTCTATATTTGTGATATCATTATTTGTAATATGTTATATAAATATATACGTACTCTTTGGGTCTTTCGGTACGGTCACGTAGATTTAAAAAAAAAAAAACCGTTTATAAAAAATTAAAAACAAAATCACGACATTTCCATCGCAACACGACCAATCGTCTTCAGGTGAACAAAATTACAGCAGGCGAACTGCTGAGGCGGGAGAAATATTTCTCCTGCCAGGTGAAGGTCCCGCAGCTCAACAAAATGGTGGCTTGCATCAGCATCATCGCGTTAGAATGTATATCAGCAGCAGCCAATTGAATCTAAATGATCTTTGATGAGGATGATCAAATAAGCGGGACAGAATTTTACCGCCCTATGGATAAGACTCTTCCCCCCCCCCCCCCACCCACCCACCCTCCCCCGGCATAGGAATGTGGAATTCCCAGAGCTGACTCAGGGTTGTGGAACGGGAGACGCGAAGCGATGCCTCGATGCTCATTTGAGCATTCAAATCATTCCGGCGAAATTTGTTTAATAGATTCACAGTGCAGGAGAGCCGAGCAGACAGGTGGGGGAGTCGTGTGTGTGGGGTGTGTGTGGGTGTGTGGGTGTGTGGGGTGTCTGTGTGTGTGGGGCGTCTGTGTGTGGGGTGTCTGTGTGTGTGGGGTGTGTGTGTGTGTGTGTGGGGTGTCTGTGTGTGTGGGGTGTCTGTGTTGGGGGTGTCTGTGGGGTGTTTGTGTGTGGGTTGTGTGTGTGTGGGGTGTGTGTGTGTGTGTGGGGTGTGTGTGTGTGAGGTGTGTGTGTGTGTGTGTGGGGTGTCTGTGTGTGTGGGGTGTCTGTGTTGGGGGTGTCTGTGGGGTGTTTGTGTGTGGGGTGTGTGTGTGTGGGGTGTGTGTGTGTGAGTGGGGTGTGTGTGTGTGGGGTGTCTGTGTTGGGGATGTTTGTGGGGTGTTTGTGTGTGGGGGTGTTTGTGTGTGGGGTGTGTGTGTGTGTGTAGTGTGTGGGGTGTTTGTGGGGTGTGTGGGGTGGTGTGTGTGTGTGTGTGGGGTGTGTGTGTTGTTGCAGTGTGTGTGTGTGTTGCGTGCATGTGTGTGTGTGTGTGCATCAATAACATAATCCACCTCCAGCAGGTCTTGGCATCTCTGTGCGAAGGCATCGACCTGCGCAAAGATGACCGTCTCGTCCAGGTCCCAGCCGCTCGCAGAGAACCTGACGGAGGAGCGGGGAGGCACCGCACACACACCGCAGGTAAAGGCCCCCCACCCCCACGTACGGCCTTGAGCCTATTCTTGGGGCAAGCGTGGGGTGTAGCAACGACCACGAAAAAGCAGATGAACGATGAAAGGTGGCTCAGATTCCCCGCCGCCTCGCGCCCCCCGCGCCCCGCTCGCCACCGTCCCCGAATGGGGCTTCAACAGAGTGTGTTGGGGCTTCAACAGAGTGTGTTGGGGCTTCAACAGAGTGTGTTGGGGCTTCAACAGAGTGTTGGGGCTTCAACAGAGCATTGGGGCTTCAACAGAGTGTGTTGGGGCTTCAACAGAATGTGTTGGGGCTTCAACAGAGCATTGGGGCTTCAACAGAGTGTTGGGGCCTCAACATAATGTGTTGAGGCTTCAACAGAGTGTTGGGGCTTCAACAGAGCGTTGGGGCTTCAACAGAGCGTTGGGGCTTCAACAGAGTGTTGGGGCTTCAACAGTGTTGGGGCTTCAACAGAGCGTTGGGGCTTCAACAGAGCATTGGGGCTTCAACGGAGTGTTGGGGCTTCAACAGAGTGTTGGGGCTTCAACAGAGTGTTGGGGCTTCAACAGAGTGTTGGGGCCTCAACATAATGTGTTGAGGCTTCAACAGAGTGTTGGGGCTTCAACAGAATGTTGGGGCTTCAACAGAGCGTTGGGGCCTCAACAGAATGTGTTGAGGCTTCAACAGAGTGTTGGGGCTGCAACAGAGTGTTGGGGCTTCAACAGAGTGTTGGGGCTTCAACAGAATGTGGTGGGGCTTCAACAGAGCGTTGGGGCTTCAACAGAGCGTTGGGGCTTCAACAGAGTGTTGGGGCTTCAACAGAGTGTTGGGGCTTCAACAGAGCGTTGGGGCTTCAACAGAATGTGTTGAGGCTTCAACAGAGTGTTGTGGCTTCAACAGAGTGTTGGGGCTTCAACAGAATGTGTTGAGGCTTCAACAGAGTGTTGGGGCTTCAACAGAGTGTTGGGGCTTCAACACAATGTGTTGAGGCTTCAACAGAGTGTTGGGGCTTCAACAGAGTGCTGGGGCTTCAACAGAGTGTTGGGGCTTCAACAGAGTGTTGGGGCTTCAACAGAGTGTTGGGGCTTCAACAGAGTGTTGGGGCTTCAACAGAGTGTTGGGGCTTCAACAGAGTGTTGGGGCTTCAACAGAGTGTGTTGAGGCTTCAACAGAGTGTTGGGGCTTCAACAGAGTGTTGGAGCTTCAACAGAGTGTTGAGGCTTTAACAGAGTGTTGGGGCTTCAACAGAGTGTTGGGGCTTCAACAGAGTGTTGGGGCTTCAACAGAGTGTTGGGGCTTCAACAGAGTGTTGGGGCTTCAACAGAGTGTTGGGGCTTCAACAGAGTGTTGGGGCTTCAACAGAGTGTTGGGGCTTCAACAGAACGTTGGGGCTTCAACAGAGTGTTGGGGCTTCAACAGAGTGTTGGGGCTTCAACAGAGTGTTGGGGCTTCAACAGAGTGTTTTGGCTTCAACAGAGCGTTGTGGCTTCAACAGAGGGTTGGGGCTTCAACAGAGTGTTGGGGCTTCAACAGAGTGTTGGAGCTTCAACAGAGTGTTGGGGCTTCAACAGAGTGTTGGGGCTTCAACAGAATGTTGGGGCTTCAACAGAGTGTTGAGGCTTCAACAGAGTGTTGGGGCTTCAACAGAGTGTTGGGGCTTCAACAGAGTGTTGGGGCTTCAACAGAGTGTTGGAGCTTCAACAGAACGTTGGGGCTTCAACAGAGTGTTGGGGCTTCAACAGAGTGTTGGGGCTTCAACAGAGTGTTGGGGCTTCAACAGAGTGTTTTGGCTTCAACAGAGCGTTGGGGCTTCAACAGAGCGTTGGGGCTTCAACAGAGTGTTGGAGCTTCAACAGAGTGTTGGGGCTTCAACAGAGTGTTGGGGCTTCAACAGAGTGTTGGGGCTTCAACAGAGTGTTGGGGCTTCAACAGAGTGTTGGGGCTTCAACAAAGCGTTGGGGCTTCAACAGAGCGTTGGGGCTTCAACAGAGCGTTGGGGCTTCAACAGAATGTGTTGGGGCTTCAACAGAGTGTTGGGGCTTCAACAGAGTGTTGGGGCAAGTGCTGCTTTAGCAGCGAGTACGGCTGAACGATTTGACAGATATTGCGATTACATTTTTTTAAAGTCAAGCTTCAGTTCAATATTCACTGCGTCTTAGATTTAAAACACGTGTGACGGAGCATTACCACGTGATGCCGTCAAAATATCAACTGCTCTAGATATTCCAATGCAAGGATGAGAACTTAAAAGATATGAATTGCTTCCAACACGTATTTATTTAAATGTGTTAATTAAAATAGAACAATGGATCATATAACATTTGTTAAGCTAAATAAATAAAGTTATAATAATAAAAACAACCCCAATAAGCAAGTATGAGGGCTTTTCGAATCGCAAAAAATCGCAGCCTTTGCGATTTGCTAATCGCATTGTTTCAAATTGCGATTTCGAATTGAAATAGATTAATCGTTCAGCCCTAGACGAGCGAGCAGCAGCAGCAGAGCCTCTAAAGATAAAGAAAGATGAAGATGCCTCAGACAGACCCACAGACTCACACAGAGACCCACAAACTCACAAATAGACCCGAAGACTCACATAGAGACCCACAGACTTACGTAGAGACCCACAGACTCACATAGAGACCCAGAAACTCACATAGAGACCCACAGACTCACATAGAGGCCCACAGACTCACGGAGAGACCCACAGACTCGCAAAGAGACCCAGAAACTCACAAAGAGACCCACAGACTCACATAGAGACCCACAGACTCACGGAGAGACCCACAGACTCACAAAGAGACTCAGAAACTCACAAAGAGACCCACAGACTCACATAGAGACCCACAGACTCACATCGAGAACCCACAAGACTCACGGAGAGACCCACAGACTCACACAGAGACCCACAAACTCACAAATAGACCCGAAGACTCACATAGAGACCCACACACTCACACAGAGACCCACAGAATCACACAGAGACCCAGAAACTCACAAAGAGACCCACAGACTCACATAGAGACCCACAAACTCACGGAAAGACCCACAGACTCACGGAGAGACCCACAGACTCACACAGAGACCCACAAACTCACAAATAGACCCGAAGACTCACATAGAGACCCACAGACTCACGTAGAGACCCACAGACTCACACAGAGACCCACAAACTCACAAATAGACCCGAAGACTCACATAGAGACCCACAGACTCACGTAGAGACCCACAGACTCACACAGAGACCCAGAAACTCACAAAGAGACCCACAGACTCACATAGAGACCCACAGACTCACGTAGAGACCCACAGACTCACGGAGAGACCCACGGACTCACACAGAGACCCACTAACTCACAAATAGACCCGAAGACTCACACAGAGACCAACAGACTCACGGCCATTAGAAACTACTCTCTTGAGAACTGTTGTTTGCGTTAATTGTTCCACCTCAGATTAGCACGGCTGGCTACGTACGGTGGTGCGAAAGAACTGCAATATACATGATGGTGGTGATGATGTTGATGGTGGTGATGATGTTGAGGAGGAACCTGCACGATGAGTAAGTGAGGGATGTTGATGGTGGTTGTGATGATGATGATGTGGCCCTCTGGAACGCTCTTCCTTCCGAATTCAGGAAGCCGCTGGGAGCTATGATGGGACTTTTACATCATCGCCATCGATATTGACAAACTCATTGGTTTAGAACTGCGTTTCGTGTTTAGTTTGTTGTCCTTCCCCCGCTCACCTCCGATTGGCTACGGTTGGCTACGTACAGTGCGAAAGAAATTCAACACACACACACGCAAAGACAAAGGTCCCCCTGTATGGCCTGTTAGCGGCAAGTGCGCACTACGCAGGCCGTCACGTACACTCACACTCACTCACTCAGACGCCCTGTCAGATGCCGCTACTGATTCTGCGGCCGTCTGGAACGCTCTTCCCTTCCAATGTCAGGAAGCCACTTGAAGCTGTGATGCAATTCTACACCATCATCATCATCATCTAGATTGACAAACACATTGCTTTACAACTTCTGTTTCTTGGTACTTTCAGTAAAGTCACGTAGATAGAAATATAAAAAAATGTAAATGAAATGTTTTTTTATTATTAATTATATTTTTCATTTGTATTGTATTTTAATTTTTTTAATCTTCTATCTACGTGACTTTACCGTAAGAACCAAAGAATATGAATTCCTGCAGTCACGAAAGCTTTAAGTCAAAATGTTCAACTTCTGTTCTTTGTGTGTGTTTGCTTGATATCGCCCACACCCCGGGAGATTCCGAGGGGCTGGTCCACCCACTCGGTTCTCTCGCGAATCGGTTATGGCAACGTCTAAGCTGCCGTGGCGTCTCAAATCAGCTCATTAGTAGACTGCAAACAGTTCGGAACGCGGCAGTCAAGGGGTGCTCACCCGAACCACACTGCGTGACCACGTTTCTACGGGCCCCCCTTATCATTGCTTTGGCTTCCGGTATTGAAAGGAGTGTTGAGTCTATGGTGCAGTGCTGAGTCTGTGGTGCAGTGTTGAGTCTACGGTGCAGTGTTGAGTCTGTGGTGCAGTGTTGAGTCTGTGGTGCAGTGTTGAGTCTGTGGTGCAGTGTTGAGTTGATGGTGCAGTGTTGAGTCGATGGTGCAGTGTTGAGTCTATGGTGGAGTGTTGAGCCTATGGTGCAGGGTTGAGTCTATGGTGCAGTGTGGAGTCTATGGTGCAGTGTTGAGTCTATGGTGCAGTGTTGAGTTGATGGTGCAGTGTTGAGTCGATGGTGCAGTGTTGAGTCTGTGGTGCAGTGCTGAGTCTATGGTGCAGTGGTGAGTCTATGGTGCAGTGTTGAGTCTATGGTACAGTGTTGAAATCTATGATGCAGTGTTGAGTCTATGGTGCAGTGTTGAGTCTATGGTGCAGTGCTGAGTCTATAATTATAATATTTCACATTTATCCATAAGGTGCATTCCACTAATGCACC